TTGGCCTGCTGTGTTCATCCAGCTCTACACCTTGTTATCAATGGATGTTATCTACCTGGACTTCAAGAAGGCCTTTGATAAGGTGCTGTCCAGGAGGCTGCTGAGTAAGATAAGGGTCCATGGTGTTGGAGGCCTGGTGCTAGCATGGAGAGAAGATTGGCTGTCTGGCAGAAAGCAGAGAGTGGGGATAAAGGGGTCTTTCTCAGGATTGCAGCCGATGACAAGTGGTGTTCCACAAGGGTCAGTGCTGGGACCACAACTTTTCACTTTATACATTAATGATTTATATGAAGGAACTGTGGGCATTCTGGCTAAGCTTGCAGGTGATACAAGATATGTAGAGGGACAGGTAGTATTTTGGAGGCGGGGAGGCTGCAGAAGGATTTGGACAGGTTAGGAGAATGGGCAAAGAAGTGGCAGATGGATTACAACGTGGGAAAGTGTGAGGTCATGCACTTTGGTAAGAAGAATAAAAGCATGGACTATTTTCTAAATGGGAGAAAATTCAGAAGTCTGAAGTGGAAAGAGACTTGAGAGTTCTAGTCCAGGATTCTCTCAAGGTAAACTTTCAGGTTGAGTCAATAGTTAGGAAGGCAAATGCAACTTTGGCATTTATTTTGAGAGGACTTGAATATAAAAGCAGGGTTGTACTACTGAGGCTTTATAAGGCTCTGGTCAGGCCACATTTGGAGTATTGTGCACAATTTTGGGCCCCATATCTCAGGAAGGATGTACTGCCCCTGGAGCGGGTTCAGAGGAGGTTCACGAGAATGGTCCTAGGAATGAAAAGCCTACCATATGAGGAACATTTGAGGACTCTGGGACTATACTCATTGGAATTTAGAAGGATGAGGGGGCATCTAATTGAAACTTACAGAATACTGAATGGCCTGGACAGAGTGGACGTTGGGAAGATGTTTCCATTAGCAGGAGAGACTAGGACCCGAGGGCACAGCCTTAGAGTAAAAGGAAGACCTTTTAGAATGGAGATAAGGAGAAACTTCTTCAGACAGAGAGTGGTGAATCTACAGAATTCACTGCCACAGAAGGCTGTGGAGGCCAGGTCATTGAGTATATTTAAGACAGAGATAGATAGGTTCTTGATTATCAAGGGGATCAAGGGTTACAGGGAGAAAGCAGCAGAATGGGGTTGAGAAACTTATCAACCATGATTGAATGGCAGAGCAGACTCAGTGGGCTGAATGGTCTAATTTCTGCTCCTATGTCTTATGGTCTTAAGATGTTGGCGAGAAGTTATGTCCGGTGGCCAGGACTGGATGCTGACATATGCCAACAAGAACAAAAACTACCCAGCAGCTCCCCCACATTTGTGGGAATGGGCAGGTAAACATTGGTCTCAGTTACACGTCGACTATGCCAGTCCTTTCATGAGCTCGACGTTTTTGGTCATTGTGGATGCCTATTCAAGGCAGCTGGACGTGCACAGAGATCAGTATTTCAGTAAGGCCTTTGACAAGGTCCCCCATGGCAGACTGAAACAGAAGGTAAAGTTGAACGGGGTCAGAGGTGAGCTTGCAAGATGGATAAAAACAACTGGCTCAGTCATAGAAGACAGACAGTAGCAGTGGAATCTGAATGGAGTGCTGTGACTAGTGGCATTCCTCAGGGATCAGTGTTGGGACCTTTGCTATTTGTAGTATATATGATTTGGAGGAAAATGTAACTGGTTTGATTAGTAAGTTTGCGGATGACACAAAGGTTGTTGGAATTGTGGATAGCGATGAGGACTGTCAGAGGATACAGCAGGATATAGATCGGTTGGTGATTTGGGCAGATAAATGGCAGATGGAGTTTAAACTGGAAAAATGTGAGGTAATGCATTTTGGAAGGTCTAATCCAGATGGAAAATATACAGTAAATGGCAGAACCCTTAAGAGTACTGATAGGCAGAGGAATCTGGGTGTACAGGTACACAGGTCACTGAAAGTGGCAAGGCAGTTGGAGTAGGTAGTCAACAAGGCATATAGCATCAGCAGCAAAAACAAAGTTGCTGGAGAAGCTCAGCAGGTCTGGCAGCATCTGAGAAGGAAAAAACAGAGTTAACGTTTCGGGTCCGGTGACACTTCCTCAGAACTGGAAAGATGTTTCCATTGGCAGGAGAGACTTGGACCCGAGGGCACAGCCTTAGAGTAAAGGGAAGACCTTTAAGAACAGAGATAAGGAAACTTCTTAAGACAGAGAGTGCTGAATCTACAGAAGGGCATATGGCATGCTTGCCTTCATTGGCCGGGGCACTGAGTTTAAAAATTGGCAGGTAATGTTGCAGCTTTATAGAACCTTAGTT